GAATCCTCTCACCCTCCTCATCTCTGGCCTTTACCCCAGTTCTGTATGAATAAATGAATAAATCTTTAAAAAAAAAAAGTAAGTTACTCAGTGAACAGAAAGGGAGAATTCTGAAATATACTTGCTTGCCCACAAAATTTACCACATTCTGTTTTTATTATTTTTTTAAAACTTAATGTTCTTTTCTTTCTTTTTTATAATCAAATGGTCTCACTTATAGGAGGAATGTAGAGAAAACAAAAAGGAATCAGAGAATAAAAGTAACTATAATAAAATGAAAATCAAAATCATCAGGCAACTCTAGATCAAAGATATTCTGCAAGGGAGGAGAAGGGAGAAGGACCAGGACAGGGCTGTGAAGAAAGAGCACAAGGGACAATGGTGATGGTGCACAGGTGAATTGGTGATGAGAATTTCATGGGGAAATCATATGTTGTACAAAAATTAAGGTTGATATAATAAATATATTTTTAAAATTAAGGAAAAAAGAATGTTTTTATTATTAAACCTCTCTAATCTGACACCTGTTAATGAATGGTGGAGGAAGCTTATAAATTAACATATATGAAAGCATTTATCTGAGTAATTTCCAATAAATGGCTGTTGGGTGAATGAAACTTGCTTCACCGAGACAAACACAGAGCACTTTGAAAAGTGCGAGCTTAACTTTCCTATATTGGCCCACAGATGAGTTGTCACTCACCTGACCCTGGGCATTGGCCCCAGCCCATTAAAAGCAGAGTGCTACTATCCCAGGGAAAGATGCTAAGCCTGAAAATAAGAGCATGAGACCACTGCACTGGTGGGAATGTCATTTAGCTTATTTCATTTCCTTTCTCCCTCCTTTGTTTTGGACATAGGTTTATTATAATTGATTTCAGATTAAGATTATTAATAACATTAATATTTGTATCATTCATGAAACAGAATAAGTAGAGAAATGTGTTCAATACTGTACATGTGCTGATGGTAAAAATCAAGGATCCTTGAAAAAGAATACATAAACTATGCTGCAGAGACATAGATTAGTGGGGAAAAAAGTTTCCAGAGGAAGAACCTCAGGAGTCTGAGGTCTCAGGAGTCCTCTTAGAGTCTGAATTCCATCTTCACACAAGCCAACCAACCCCAAAGCAGTGGGACCCCAACAGTACTCTACAGTAAAATAAATGCCCTGGGAATTAATACATGTGTGGGTATCAAAGGTCTTGTACTTCTGTTTAACTTTAGAGTAGGGTGAGGATGATACTCTCTATGAAATACCTGTGAACAAACAAGTATCTCATGTAAAAAAGAAAAAAGCCCATTACCCTGTTTTTCTATTCTCTGAAGCCTGCTCCTTGTTCCTTTACACTCTCACTGTAGTGTAATAAGTAGTTACATTAATACAATTAATAATTGATGCCCTACAGATTTTTTTGAACCAGTCCTACAGGTGCAATGCAAGAGGATCCAGCAAGTCCATTTTTGACCAGCTATATGTTTCATTCAGGTCTGGGCAGAGGCTATAATGGTGGTGAAGTACTTGAAATAGCTGATCAATGACTTTTAAACTTTACTAATTTAATTAGAATTTACATCATCTACATTTGGTTATTGAATACTATATTGGAAGTGCAGTCTAGGAACAAAAAGATATGTAACCTAAAAAACTAAGACTTGAAGTTAGAAGACATGATTTGAGCTCTGTTTCTTGTCCCACTAGCTATGGGTTTGAGTAAACCAAACTTATCAAATCTGCCTTGACAGGTAATCAATATCTTTTTATGTTGCTGTGGAGAATAAATGATATATTTGTGGGTGGAAATTTCTGTTTAGGCTACAAAGAACCTAGAAATATGAGGTGTCATTTTAACAAGCTCTATGAATTTTCACAAAAACATACAAAGTTTTCATTGTCAATTCCTGTAAATGTGTACCCTAAAAGATTGCTTAGTTAAATACCATTTGAGTATTAGTTAAAGCATTTGAGTCCTGTTAATGAGTAACCATTCTTGTTTTCTATAGCCAGTGGTTTGCAATAGAGAACATTGTTCTTTCTTTATTAATATTATAGGTTATCTTGCATAACTGCTAATAAATGTTCTGGCTGTGGGTGATGATCCCATAAATCTCCCTAGCTCAGAATAGCGGAGGTACCCTCTTTTAGTTATCTCTCCTGGTGCCTGCAATAGCAATTAGAGGTGAGATTGTCTACAGCTCACTCTACAGCTCCATTTCTTGTCTCTAAGAAATAACACGATTGAGACATAAAATGAAGATGGTAGATTTGTGCATTGCTTCCCTTGGTCCATCTAGTCTGCTCATGCCTGTGGTATTAGGGGAAATGGCAGGGTGTACCTTACCCATTGTCGAAGGGGTAGCCCCATGTACTATTGCTCGTGAGACATTTAGGACCTTTGTTGATGGAGATGGCTGATACGCTAAATGAGTATGCAGCACCCAAGAATCCAATCACAGCAAAGATAGTAGAGGTGAACATCTGAAAAAGAAGAAGGGCAACAGGTTAAACTCAGCACTCCCGACCGGCCTTTTACTGTGCATGGTGAGTTCTGGGGAGTCATGACTTGTTGTGGGGAGCACAGTAAGTGTTTACAGCACTGGGGCCTGAAGGGTCTACTAGACTGAATTTTGGTGTTTAATGTCCTCTTCTTCACTCCACCCCCACATCTCTTCATCTGCTCACCAATGACTGAAGTGCCAGTTATGGTTTGATACCTTTGATCATTCTTTTAAATCATAGTAAGGGTAGAATCTGTTTCAAAAAGAACATATGGAAGTCCAGTATATTAGTGAAGCAAATAATTTTGGAATTGTAAGTTATCTTCAAAGTTTTCTGGCCTTATCATGTTTTTGAGGCTGTTAATGTGGAGTCTCATGTGACAGGCAGGTTCTTCTTATAAGAAAGAATAAAATCTAGAAATTTCCCTTATTGATTATATAAATTCCATGAGATCAAAAAAATAAATGTTTAATTTTTCTACTTTTTACATGATAGTAACCTTTAAAATATTTCTGAATATATTATCTGTATACCAAAATATTTTTATGCTGTGTCTCTCTATCACAATCTGAGAGTTATCTCTTTTGAGGACTAAACATGGCCAAGAATTTCAGTTATTTAAATATTTTTATGTGACAGATCAGTTGGTGAAAAATAGATAGCATTAGCATATTTTTATAATTATAAAATCAAAATGAATTATAGAATATGATTCTGGAGTTCACCAGGCTAAATCCTTCTGACAGATGACAAGATTAGACCTAGAGATACAATATCTATTCCAAATAATAATTAGAAAGTGCCATAGGAATATGAATAATTATAGAAAAAATGGAAAATTATTAACTCTATTACTGTGGTGACACAAAGTTAGAGTGGAAAGCACTGAGTTTAAAAGTAATCAGGTCTAGTCTCAAATGTCAGCTTTGCTACTTTTTCTGTGTGATGATCCTGTATAATCCTGTGGGTGTAGGGTCAGAGTCTAAGTTTTATCATCTATAAAATCAACATGACAAAACCTACTTAAAAGTTCTATTGTGAAAATTATTGTGATAGCCAGAGTTAAATGTCAGGTAGTTCCCTT